CCTGCGGAGTAGGTTCCCTTTAGGGCCCATATCCAGCCCTTTCCCCCTATTTCCAGCTCTTTCCCCCCATATCCATCCCTTTCCTCCCATTTCCAGCCCTTTCCTCCATATTCCCATCCCTTTTTCCCCCCTTATCCAGCCTTTTTGTCACCCATTTCCATCTTTTCTCCCCTTGTCCAACCTGTTTTCCATCCCCATGACTTCCCTCAGGGAATCTATCCCCCAGCACATCCCTCTCCTGCTAGCATACAAGGGATCCCAAATTTCCCACACTCCTTCCCTCTCCATGTGCCCCTTCCTTCCCTCTCCAGCCAGGATGACCCCAGAAGGGCTATTCCCATGGGAGAAATGTCCCAGGAGTGCTGTACCTGCTCCTGTATCCCAAAATTCCTGGCTGTGCCCTAACCCTGGGGTGGGATGTGCCCAAACCTGCCTCTGGAGCGTGTCCTGCTCAGCACTGCCCATGGAGCTGGGAGTAGCTGGGAACAACCTGCCTGGACACTGCTTCCTGGGATTGCACATCACCCTCATCCCTGGATTTCCTCACATGGAGACTGGGGGGGAGGGAGAGACCAAACTGGGTAGGAGAGAGGAGACACAGCTCCTTGGATTTTCCTGTTTTCTACAACAATCTCTGTGCCCTTCTTGAGGTCCTAGATGTCAAGAGAGGCACCTGCCAAACAAGCCCTGTACTCCCATTTCTAGGTCTGGGATGCTGGGAGATACATCCCACCATCCAAACAATCCCTGAGACCCTCTCCAGGTCCTGGATGTTGGGAGAGCTCCCAAGATCACTCCAACCTTCCAAACAATCCATGTGCCGCTTTTCCAGGTGCTGGCTGTCGGAAGAGGCCCTGCTGAGTGCTCCCAGCAGCATGAAGCGTTGGGAATGCTGGGGCTGAGCGCTCCAGGCCCTGGGAAGGAGGATGCTCCAGCCCAGTAACTACAGCCTGGTGCTATTCCTGCAGTTCCTGCTGCTTTCCTATGACCTCTGCGTCAATTCCTTCTCGGAGCTGCTCCGCACAGCTCCTGCTGTCCAGCTCGTCCTCTTCATGTGAGTGCCAGGCAGGAGGGGCAGGAGGCATGGAATCCCTGGCATCCCAGCTATCCCTGTTTTTCCTGCAGCATCCAGGACATCGCCATCCTCTTCAACGTCATCATCATCTTCCTCATGTTCTTCAACACCTTCGTCTTCCAGGCTGGATTGGTTAATCTCCTCTTCCACAAGTTCAAGGGAACTATCCTGCTCTCTGCAGCCTACCTGGTGCTCAGCATCTCCTTCCATGTCTGGATTATGGTAGGATGGGGTGGGAACAACAGTTGGATTCTCCCAAGGGATGTTTTCATCACCCCCAGGTCCCTCAGCCTTTCTCTTGGGAGAGGAAGGACATGACCTCTGTCCATGGTGGCAGTTTGATGTCCCATTCTGAGACCTCATTGTGGGATTGAGCTGGGAGGGCTCTGCCCCATCCCAGCCCATTCCCAGCCCTTCCAAGACCATTCCCTGAGGGCCGTGAC